ATCTTCAGAACTGGAGACCCAGTCGTTGAATTTGCAAAGTCAATATTTTTATTCAGCATTTTTGACACGTGTCGAAAATGCTGAAAAAAAAATCATGGGATTTCTAAAGTTTCAGAATTTTCTTTTTATTTTTGTCTTCCCATCACCCTGTTTCCAGTTACACAAATATGAAGTCGTTTTCTGAGGACACGAGCCGTTTTTATCCCATGGGAAAAACGGCAACTTTCCAGCAACTTTCCATTGTGTTGCTCCAAGACATTCAACACTCAATCCTGGAGACCTTAAACTCCTGGAAGCATAAAATTTAGAGGGTCGTCGAAGTGTGGGTCGCGCAAGAACTACTGCTGGCATATTTCTTTCTAGATAGGACTCCTGTCAGGTTCCAGTCCTGATCTGAGCAGATGTCAGTCCAAAATTAGCATAAGGAGCGCCACATTGTCTTTCTTCATATATAGTTAGGAAAATTCTTGACCTGATCTCAGTGTCCAAAAAACTAATTCACTCTAAATTCTTCTCTCTTTCGTCTTCACAGTTTGCTGAAGTCGAGCCACAGCATGAATATACTCTCTTTAAACAGTTACCATAGTGCATATATACACTCCATGAAACAGTAACCACATTACATATATATACACTTTATGAAACAGTTGTCGTAGTTCGTATATATACTCAATGAAACGGTTGCCATTAGTACATATAGACACTCCATGAAACAGTTATCATGGCACATGTACAGTCCACTAAGCAGTTGCCATAATACGTATATAAACTCCGTGAAACAGATGCCATAGTTTGTATATACATTCCATGACACATTCGTCATAATACGTGTACATAATAGATGAAATACACTCCAACACTTCCCACCAACAATCAGCAACAAACTGTCATGACAGATTGTCGTAAAGAAACTGTGTAGACGTCCATGGATCTGCCAGTCTCTTGTTTCCACTCACGTCAACATCACCGGCTCATAAATACCGTCATGAACACACTTATATTACTCTCACATAACACAAAATGTGGAAGGACATCTATTAGCAAAGATTTTATGCACAGATATATGTTTCGTGTTCTAAATATGTATTTCGAGTTGTAGATATATATCTTGAGTTGTGGAGACATATTTCGAAGTGAATGCAGGTTCAAAGATCCATGTCTCGCAGTGTCAGCATTTGTTGGTGTGATACAGAGGACATGATATTCCAGCCAGATGCAACCCAAAGCAAAAGGACTGTGAGGCGTGGGAGGAAGGAATGTGGATGTGTGATAGATAATACAAGGTGAATATGTACATGAGGAGTAGGATAAGAGCAGGTAGGTTAAGTATTGTCAGTATTGATTAGATAAGTTCACAGTCAAGTTCTTGAATGTCGAGAAATCCACCACAGACGAGCAGTGAAGCATTTCTGATGTTCATTAAACTTTTCTTTAACTCTCAAACTGTTTATCCTGATATATTTTGCAGAGAGGCACTAACGTTTTGAGCATGTCCCACCGACGACGTCATTGTTTATTGCTCTTAGTGTTAAACTTATCATGTCTTGGGATAGGGATCTTTGCTATATGCAGATGAGAGAATCTCGGAACACGCAGATGTATCTGTCTTTATGGCTGGAAGGTCAGGAAGATAGTGGTTGAGTGTTACTGAGGCGCAGGTGTTCGGGTTACTGCGTCAGTGTAAACATTCTCTGTGTGAGTTTTTGCTGATGTTGACGATTCACTGTGAGGAGGACTGGCCACTTGAGGTAAGTTCTTCACCGAACACCGTTTGAAGAGCTGATGGAACGTTTCGAAATTATTTTCTTTCTGTTGTTTCGAGGACTTCGAGTTACTTGGTTGTGTAGTGTCAGCCGACTCCTGTGTTCCGTTTCTCAATGTCATTTGGTGAATTTCAGACACCAAAGGATCAGAGTATGTCACTCTGGAGGCCTTGAGACACTTTTTAGTCTTTGATTTCTGTTCATCAGCTTCAGGAATTTTATTATCAAGGCCGGTTTGGTTGGGAAGACAAGTGTCTGTAGACTTCGGCGGACCCCCGGTTTCTCGCTGCGACAGTGCACAGGAACAAGACTTATCCACAGATCGTGGAGGGTTAGAAGATGCTGGCTTTAACAGTCTCCGGATTGGATGAGGGATCAGACGAGTCTGGTGGATATTCTTTAGAGAGTGATATAGTAGAATGAATGGGTGGGGGAGTTTTAGACTGGCACAGTCTAGGTTGAATAGATAGACAGGGAGGACACAATGGTTGCGGTGAGTGACCTGAAGGGAACTGCATACTGGAAGAAGTTTTGGACTGAGATGAGCAAGGCTTAGGTGACTGTTGCAGTGGTGGGCTAGGTCTTGGCTGCTGTTGGATTGGTGTGGAAGGTCTTGGGGGCTGCTGCTGTTGCTTTATCGCTACTAATTCAGATTGCTGTTGTACTGCTGTTAAAGGCCTCGGTTGGTGCTGCAATGATGCTGGTGTGGTTCTTTGGGATTGAATTTGTACTGTGGTGTCGGTTGTCGGATGCTGCTGACGTTGTTTCTGCTGCTCTAATTCCTGCTCTTGTGGAGAGGATAAAGCTTCAAATACCTGTGAGTCTTCGGGTGTTGCCAAAGGAGGTTGCTGAGGAAGAAGGGGGGGCTTGTTGATGGAGCAATGAGGGTCGTCTGGCTTCGACATGCTGACACAGCTAATGTTCAACTCTTTACTGCATTTGTTAGTCGAAATGCTACTGTTAGATGTCGATTTCTTGTTAAAGCTGGTGAAAGAACTACTGCTGCTGTTGCAGCTACTGATTGACTTATTATAGCTAGTATTATTTGAGCTACAACCGCTTGACTTATTGCAGTTGGTGTTTGACTTGCCGTTGCAGCTTTCATTCGATTTCTTGCAGCAGGTGACAGACTGCGAAGTCGATGGCAAATGACAATGATCACGTGATTCACTCAAAGACGATTCTAATTCGTGACTTTCTTTCACGGGGGATTGTGATTTAAGAGGATTCGAAAGGGAAACTGGTCTGGAATCGTGTTTTAGGAGCGCCATTGTGTTATAATCCTTCTCTAAGAGCTGGCCTGGTTTATCATGTTTCAAGGGGGACGCTACCGTGTCATGTTTCTTCATTGGTGATCCTAGCTGGTGATCCGTTTTTAATGGAGAACATTGTGGATGTTCTGTTCTCAGTGGGGAACCTGGTGAGTGTATATTTCTGAAGGGTAATCCTACTGGATGATCCATTTTTAAGGGGGATCCTGGTGAATGGATGTTTTTCAAGGGTGACCCCAGTGGATGATCTGTTTTCAATGGAGAACCTGGTGGATGATCAATTCTCAGGGGAAATCCGGGTGGTTGAGCAATTACCGAAGAGGAATCTGGCGAATTAGTCTTTTTCAAGGAGGACCCTAATGGAGAATCTTTTCCTTTTAAAGAGGGTTCTTTCTGAGATTCAATGGATTCTAATGGTTGACTTTTCAAGGAGAGTCCTAGTAAAGGCTCCTTCTTGAAGGGACGCCCTGGAACAGGATGCCTTTTCAAGGGTGGGTCTGGTGTCTGGCTTTTCAATGATTCCCTGGTGTCTGACTTTTCAATGGGTCTTCTATTGTGTTTCTTTTCAAGGAGGGTCCTGATGGAGATTCCTTTTTCGAAGGAGATGCTGGTGCTTTGCTTCTGAAGGGTTTCCCTGGAAGATGATCAGTCTTCAGTGGTTTCCCTGGCGGATGATCAGTCTTCAGGGGTTTTCCTGGCGGATGATCAGTCTTCAGGGGGTCACCTGATGCATGATCAGTTTTCAAGGGAGAACCTAACTGGTGGTCCATTAACAAGGGAGACCCTGGCCGATAGAACCTTTCGAAAGGAGCCCCGACTGCGTGATCCATTTTTAAGGGAGCCCCTTGTGGGTGATCACTTTTTAAGGGACAGTTTAAGGGGTGTCCTTTTTTGTAGTGAGTCTCCCGTTTCTGATCCAGCTCTGAGGGGGTTTCGTGTCTTCGGGCCTTTACTAACGGTGGCTCTGGCTCTTGGCCCTTAACTAAAGAGGTTCTTTTCCTAGTATCTTCTTTTAAGGGAGGTTGCTGCTTTAAAGATGATCCTTGAATGTCCTCCTTTGCCGAGAACAATGCTGGATTATTACTGTTCTTTAAGTGAAGCCCAGGATTATCCTCTTTCTTTAATTGAGGCCCTGGATTATCACTTTTCTTTAAGTGAGGTCCTGGATCACCTTCTTTCTTTAAGTGAGGTCCTGGATTATCACTTTTCTTTAAGTGAGGTCCTGGATTACCTTCTTTCTTTAAGTGAGGTCCTGGATTATCACTTTTCTTTAAGTGAGGTCCTGGATTATCATCTTTCTTTAAGTGAGGCCCTGGATTATCACTTTTCTTTAATTGAGGTCCTAGATTACCTTCTTTCTTTAAGTGAGGTCCTGGATTATCACCTTTCTTTAAGTGAGGTCCTGGATTATCATCTTTCTTTAAGTGAGGCCCTGGATTATCCTCTTTCTTTAAGCAAGGCCCTGGATTACCTTCTCTCTTTAAGTGAGATCCTGGATTATCACCTTTCTTTAAGTGAGGCCCTGGATTATCTTCTCTCTCTACTCGAAGCCCTGGATTTTCCTCTTTCTTTAAGTGAGGCCCTGGATTTTCCTCTTTCTTTAAGTGAGGCCCTGAATTATCCTCTTTCTTTACGTGAGGGCCTGGTTTATCCTCTTTCTTTAAGTGAGGCCCTGGATTTTCCTCTTTCTTAAAGTGAGGCCCTGAATTATCCTCTTTCTTTAAGTGAGGCCCTGGTTTATCCTCTTTCTTTAAGTGAGGCCCTGGATTTTCCTCTTTCTTTAAGTGAGGCCCTGAATTATCCTCTTTCTTTACGTGAGGGTCTGGATTATCATCTTTCCTTAAGTGAGGCCCTGGATTATCTTTCTTTAAGTGAGGCCGTGAATTATCCTCTTTCTTTAAGTGAGGCCCTGGATTATCCTCTTTCTTTACGTGAGGCCCTGGATTATCATCTTTCTTTACGTGAGGCCCTGATTATCATCTTTCTTTAAATGAGGCCCTGGATTATCATCTTTCTTTAAGTGAGGACCTGGATTATTATCTTTCTTTAAGTGAGGACCTGGATTATCATCTTTCTTTAAGTGCGATCCTGGATTACAGGATTCCTTTGGATGAGGAGCTAGAGCATCATTTATGTTTTCTGAGGCACTTGCTCGGTGGTTTCTGCTGGTGGTTCTGGTATCTCATGATCTGGTACAGAAGGAAACTTGTTGATGCAAGATGTTGAGATACATGATGCTCTTTTGTTTTCATCGCTGGAGCCTCCTGTACCAACTGCAGGATGTTCTAATGCCATTTTGCCTTTCGATTTGGAGTCTTTTGTACAAGATGAAGAAAGTTTGACTGCTGCTCTATCTTTAGATGTGGAATCTCCTGCACAAAATGTAGGTTTGGATTCTTTTTCGCCTTCAGTGTTTGAGTCTCCTATGCTTTGTAGAGGAATGTTAGCTTTCTGAGAAGTGGATTCCGACGGTTTGGGTATATATTTTGGTTTATTTGGTGGTAGGGGCGGCGGCGTTCGTTGTGGTGAAATTTTCTTTCCTGTCTGTTGTTGTGGTGGTGTTGGCGTGTCACGCTGTAGTTGTGGTGGTGTTGGCGTGTCACGCTGTAATTGTGGTGGTTGGCGTGTCACGTGTAGTTGTGGTGGTGTTGGCGTGTCACGCTGTAATTGTGGTGGTGTTGGCGTGTCACGCTGTAGTTGTGGTGGTGTTGGCGTGTCACGCTGTAGTTGTGGTGGTGTTGGCGTGTCACGCTCTTGTTGCTGTGGGTCTCTGTCGATAGAATTTTGTTGCAATAGTTTCTTCTGGGACGGAGTTCCCAATGACGGTCGTCGAGGTAGTACATCCGGCACAGCAGGTGGTGGAGGTCGCCTCTGTGGAGATCTTGAAAGGGAAGAAGTCTCTGGCAGTGATGCTTGTCTGAAGACTGCATTACTCTGCGAGCTGGTCTTGTTTACTAAGTATTCCTCTGACTTCGGTTTTGTCGACTCCTTGCTTTGGCTCGTTGTTACCCCTTTGAGGGAATTGATGAAATTTTGGTTATTTTCATTTGTTTCTGGTGGTAGTGAATGTGTTCTCTGAGCTATGGGTTTGCTCTTGTATCTAGATTCCTGCATAGACGCTTGCTTGAACAGCTCATCGTAGGGGCAAGTTAATGGCTGAGGAGGCTGTGATTGGCGAGTGATCCATCGGTACAGCTGCTGGTCTGACGTGGTTACTGATGAACTGTGCAGCGATTCTTCCATGTCCTCCTCAGGCAGAGATGACTGTCGGTATATCTGGAGGTAGGACCCCAAGATGCTTGGATGGCAGGGGTGGGAATATTGTGTGGTCTGTGTGGGAAGTGACCCTTGCCTCTGTAAGTGAGGAGAGGAAGACAGCTCCCTGGAGGGAGGCTGAGGCACCGTCGACTGTTTGGAAGTGCATAGATCACTGACTGTCCCATTTTCTGGCGTTATGATTCTTATATCATGTTCCGGCCTCACGTGTTGTCTCAGTGTTTTGTCTTCCATCTTGATCTCTCTTTCGTTGTGTTGAGCGTCTCTGTTGTTGTCCACCATTAGATAAGGCGAGCTAGGTCTGAGAGATTTGTTGTCTCCGTTGTTCTTTCTGGACGAGTTTTGCCATAGTCGGAATATACTTCTTGGCGAGAGAAGTTCCTTCCTCACTGAGCGTTGGGGAGAGTTAGGAGCAGACAACGAGCGCTTGGGAGACGAGTAAGGCGAAGAGTTGTAGCTCTGGGGAGGGACTGGAGAACTACCACGCTTTGGCGATCCCGGTGGGGAGGTGTATGTATGTCTGGTCATAAACGGGGGACTGTAGGAGTGCTTTGGAGAGTCTGCTGGGGAGGAACTGTACATAGGAGAGTTAACAGGAGAAGAGCTACTCGATCGTACCGGAGACGTCCCGCGCTTTGGACTGGTGGGTGAGGTGCCCCGTTTAGGAGAAGAGAGGGGTGAAGTGGCTTGTCTTGGCGACCTCAGAGGCGAAGAACTGCGTCGTGAGCCGTCTCTCTGCAATGACGCCTGCTGAGGTGGCGTCAGCTGGGGTGAACTGCTGCGGCTGTGGGAGTTCCTATGGGTCAGAGGAGAGGGCGGAGTGGGGCAGCTGCGACGGGGAGACACCGGGGAGCTGATGGGGCTGTTGGACGACGGAGAGGGACTTGAAGACCTGCGTGAAGGACTCGACGACCGGCTGCCGGAGTTATCTCGGAATTCCTCCTGAAGAGCCCGACCCTGTGAATACAGGAGAACAAGATCAATAGTGGCAATGAGAGGCGGTAGATACTCTCACTTATGATGGTCACTGTATGGCAGCTTTGACGAGATACACAAGACAGCATACGAAGCAATGGACGCTCTGTGTTATAATATGAAACTTAACTCTCTACAGGGTAACAAAAAAGTTCGACAGTCACTTATTTTAATCCACCACCACGGCATCAACAGTGGTGGTAGAGGGAGTGTAGAAATAGTGAGATTAACGTCTCTGACAGAGGTGTTCTAGAACTATAGTCAGAGGGCTGTTACACTTGAATTATCAAAGGCTGAGGGTGCAAGTGAAGTGCAGTGCGAATCTTTCATGTCTATGGACAGATTCATCTAACTATAAAAGCGAGTCTGGCGTGATGGGTGGATGTCTGTCCACCCATTACGCCAAAGACTCACGTGCGCGTGTAGGTGTTATTGGGCGTGTATGATCGTGCGTAGGCATTACTGGGCATATATGAAAGTATGTAGGCGTGAAAAGGCATGTGTAGGCGTAAGTAGTTGTATACAAAAGTGGTAACCTGAGTGGTATTGGTGAAAGGAGGCAATGGGTGCATTGTACACTTACTATTTTCTTGTACAACCAGTTTCCATATCTAACGTAATGTACATCATTGACATTTCACTGACGAAATCTTATACGACTCAATGAAAGGAATCTTGTCTCTCTACATATGTACAGGATATTTTAAACATTCACATCTAGCTATTTTACAAAACACAATGAAAAAATACACGTATCTTCAAACATATAAACATTTTTTTTTTTTCAACAAGTCGGCCGTCTCCCACCGAGGCAGGGTGACCCAAAAAAGAAAGAAAATCCCCAAAAAGAAAATACTTTCATCATCATTCAACACTTTCACCACACTCGCACATTATCACTGTTTTTGCAGAGGTGCTCAGAATACAACAGTTAAAGCATATACATATAAAGATACACAACATATCCCTCCAAACTGCCATATAAACATATAGACTATAATTCAGTAAATCACTTATTTTGCAATTTATCCTTTGCAATTTAGGCCTGGTCACAGACCGGGCCGCAGGGGCGTTGACCCCCGGAACTCTCTCCAGGTAAACTAGCACATCAAAATAATTTTTAAATTCTTGTGAGGAGGGAGAGGAAAGTGGACATCATTATACTTTTATGGTTCGTGATGTGTAGGAAAGATTTTGAGATTAATTGGCAGGTGGGTGGAGAGTATTGTTCAGAGCATAGAGTTTGATGACAGTCATCAAAATTAAAAGGCATCATTCTGTCATTTGTTGATGTATTGGTTTGACTGTCATGTGCTGATGTAACTGTCAGTCTGTCATGCTGACTTGCCTGTCAGGCTAGATGTGACGTAGTCTGTTAATGTCTGGTGAAATGATATTGTGATAGTCTGTGGTGGTGGTGGTTGATGATGTGATGTTTCTTGTGGGGTGATAATGTTAGTGCTAGTAACAGAGGTGAGGGTGATGGGGGTGGTGGTGGTGGTGGTGGTGGTGGTGGTGTTGGTGCTTTTGATGGTGATGTTAGTGCTAGTGACTGTGGTGCACTGGCGATGGTGGTAGTTGGAGGTGGCATTAAATTGTGATAGCGCTAGACAATGGAAGTGACGCTGCTAGCTACTGCTCCGTGGTAGCTAGTGACCTGTGCTAGCTTGTGCAAGTTAGTAGTGTTGCTAGACTGTGATGCATCTAGCCTGCCTAAGTCAAAAAAAAAGAAAAAGAAAAGAAAAGAAACATACCACGGGGCCCAATCTCTCTCTATTTCTTACGAGCGGCGGTTGAAGATTTCTTGGAGGAAGAGCGTCTTAGAAGGCTACCCGCAGAACACAAGATAAGGCCGAGGATCAACACACACAGACACAACATACCAAGAAAAACACAACGTAATAACATCCGCACATGAAAAAATTACTTAACAGCCAGGTAAATTAAATTATTGAAGAAAATAATAACCTCATTGACAGCCACGTAAAGAAGATAAAAAATAAAGGGAGCTTTTTAATTTACCAAAACAAAAGCAAGATTAGCTTGAAATAAATGTTAAATATACATATACTGAAAATAAATTTGTACTTAAAGCAATGTGGTGTAAAAAGCTAGAAAAATGACCCGTTACATATTATAGCGACATTGATAAGGGATAACGAAGGTTAGGCGGTACCGAAGCATGTATAGGCATACAGAATATATTATATACATGATACAACACAGTTAACAGAGTGCAGCAATACATATACAATACGTACATTATTTATATAATGTAAGCTAAATTTACAGAGAAGAGAGAGAAAAAAAATTACCTTATATTAAGCAGAGAAAATTCACTTTTGCATTGATGATTAACTCATACTAAATAAAGTGTCAAGATCTATGCTTAAGTATGCTATCTACGTTAAGTATGCTATCTACGTTAAGTATGCTATCTACGTTAAGTATGCTATCTTCGTTAAGTATGCTATCTTCGTTAAGTATGCTATCTACGTTAAGTATGCTATCTACGTTAAGTATGCTATCTTCGTTAAGTATGCTATCTACGTTAAGTATGCTATCTACGTTAAGTATGCTATCTACGTTAAGTATGCTATCTACGTTAAGTATGCTATCTACGTTAAGTATGCTATCTTCGTTAACTTCTAACAAAGATTAATGTTATATCTTACTTTATTTTCCTGTCTCCAAGAAATCCTGTTTTTTAAATCACGTCAACTATGATCTTTATGGATAGAGAAGGAAGAAAAGGGTCTTACCTATCATTCAACTCCCGAAACTATTTCCCCGTTGACCCTCCCAGAGTCTTGCCCTTTCTCTGAATCACATAAACTAGCTTTACCCTTGCCCAGCCTCACCTCCTGGCAGGATGACAGAGTCCCCTCGGCAGGTGACTCCTGGGGGACAGTTTCCCTCACACATCTCGCCCAGGCTCATGGAGTGGTAGTAGGAAGCTAGTAGCTGTTTCGCCGTCTGCTCGTCTCCCTCCTCCAGGGTAACGTCTGGATACTTGGCCTTCAGTCTCCTCCGCTCCTGTGGTGTTACAAGTGTTGGTTAGTAGAAGGATGCAAGTGTTGGTACCCTTGTTAGGTGAAGGATGCGCGTGGTGGGTTCTTAATAGTGGCATTTAGTAAATGTTTCCTGGGAAATATAGTCTACAGAAAGGTTTATCTCCGTTTCCTCTTCCCTCATTCTCTTCCCGGATAAGGTAAGATAATGGCAGCCGCATGAGAGGCAGCTTCAGCCCTTCACTCGGACGCTCATGGGAGACCAATGGAATTAATGGAGGATTAGTTTGTGAATCATAGTGGGCGCCTCTGCAAGGTGACTTAAAAAAATCAAAATCACATACATGCAAATAGAGAATAAATATCAAAAGTTCAATGGAGAAAATATAAATATTTCTTGAATTAATAATTATAAAATATAGAAAGTAATTTAAAGAAAACAGGCAACAGCGCCTACAAAGAAGGTATCGAACAGGGAATAAATGAAAGGCTTCCTATAATCAAAACAGTAATCTTCCTACACATTTGACGGGTTATAACTGTCATGAGATACACAACCCTCCCCAAAATAGGAGGAAGCCAACATTATTCCCATCCTGCAGGAAGTCAGACAGATGTATTCACGCCCATGTCACTTATGTTTATGTAAAATACTAGGAGAAAGTTAAGTAGTTTATTGTGTTCCACTGGGGTGAAAACTCCCTAAAGAAATTTCTGTTTCCATAGCTGAGTTGTGTGGGATTTATCACAGCCCAGAATGAATTAATACACCACAGGTTGGCAACTATACAATTAGTAGGGATTCCAAAGGTACAGTCAGTGTTGTTATATATTACTCCAAAACTTGCAAGGAACTTTCATATGAATGTCTTCTATTCCTACATAAACACCACTGTGAAACACATGATAGATCCCGTAAGTGGGTGCCAGGACTCCGCGGAATATTACACATTGAAATAGTTGAACTAGCCAAGGCACAATGCAACATTCACTCCACCACTCTCAACTCTGCATATAACAAGTGAAGCTACTCTGGAAACTGTCACAAACAACTTATTGGAAACGAGGGAGACTCTCACACTCATCAACACTCTGAATCCTTAAAAAATGGAAGTATGCTAACAAACATAAAACTTAAATATTAAAGATATTGACTAGATTAAGGCTAAGACAAACTGAGCTATGAGCTCACAGCTCACGGATCCAGCTACAGAAAGATATAAACGGAAATTGCATTCACTGCCATATTCCCTAAACCGTGGAGGATTATCTAACCCAGTGTTTTCAGATATCAGAGTGCGAGAACCTTAATCAGACACGAACTGACCACCCTTAAGGGGCACGTCAGTTCCCCCTGTTAAGTTATACCATGAATTAAGGAAAGATCCTGGACTTCACCTCACGAAAGCAGACAAAGCAAATGCGATAGTAATTATGAACAAGGTAGATTACAGGGGAAAAATAAACCTGATATTAGGAGACAAGGAAACTCACGCACCTCTTAAAATTCCTCACAACATAATGCTGAAGGGAATGTTATCAACATTCAAAACATTTTGGAAGGTGGGACCTTCCCACTGCATATAAAGAAGAAAATATTGAAAACATTAGTCCATTTTTTACAAACATCTAAAAAAATTTGAGCAATACTTAAATACTTAAATATAAAAGAAACACAGAAGAAGCGACCAACAGACATCACTGATCCAAGTGGGGACAGGTGAAGAGGCGGGACCAGGAGCTGTGAATCGACCTTGCAACCACAGATAGGTAAGAACAGTTAGACTGACCCACTACAAATTATACAGTCATCGGGAGTAGAAGAAATCTTTAGGTAAACTGCTTGTATCCAGAAGAAGGGGTAGCAAAACAAGTTACTGACTCGGTACCTGATTAAAAATATCTGAGTGTGTGTGTGTGTGTGTGTGTGTGTGTGTACTCACCTAATTGTACTCACCTAATTGTGGTTGCAGGGGTCGAGACTCAGCTCCTGGCCCCGCCTCTTCACTGATCGCTACTAGGTCCTCTCTCTCTCTGCTTCCTGAGCTGTATCATACCTCTTCTTAAAACTATGTATGGTTCCTGCCTCCACTACTTCACTTGCTAGGCTATTCCACTTCCTGACAACTCTATGACTGAAGAAATACTTCCTAACGTCCCTGTGACTCGTCTGAGTTTCAGCTTCCAGTTGTGACCCCTTGTCCCTGTGTCCCCTCTCTGGAACATCCTATCTCTGTCCACCTTGTCTATTCCCCGCAGTATCTTGTATGTCGTTATCATGTCTCCCCTGACCCTTCTGTCCTCCAGTGTCGTCAGTCCGATCTCCCTCAACCTTTCCTCGTACGACATTCCCCTGAGCTCTGGGACTAGCCTTGTTGCAAACCTTTGTACTTTCTCTAACTTCTTGACGTGCTTGACCAGGTGTGGGTTCCAGACTGGTGCTGCATACTCCAGTATGGGCCTAACATACACAGTGTACAATGTCTTGAACGATTCCTTATTAAGGTATCGGGACGCTATTCTCAGGTTTGCCAGGCGCCCGTATGCTGCGGCAGTTATTTGGTTAATGTGTGCCTCCGGTGATGTGCTCGGTGTTATGGTCACCCCAAGGTCTTTCTCCCTGAGTGAGGTCTGTAGTCTTTGTCCACCTAGCCTATACTCTGTCTGCGGTCTTCTTTGCCCCTCCCCAATCTTCATGACTTTGCATTTGGCTGGATTGAATTCGAGAAGCCAATTACTGGACCACATGTCCAGCCTGTCCAGGTTTCTTTGCAGTCCTGCCTCATCCTCATCCAATTTAATTCTTCTCATCAACTTCACATCATCTGCGAATAGGGACACTTCAGAGTCTATTCCTTCCATCATGTCGTTCACATATATCAAAAATAGCACTGGTCCTAGAACTGACCCCTGTGGGACCCCGCTCGTCACAGGCGCCCACTGTGATACCTCTTCACGTACAATGATTCGTTGCTGCCTCCCTGTCAGGTATTCCCTGATCCATTGCAGTGCCCTCCCTGTTACATGCGCCTGATCCTCCAGCTTCTGCACTAATCTCTTGTGGGGAACTGTGTCAAAGGCCTTCCTGCAGTCTAGGAAAACGCAATCTACCCACCCCTCTCTCTCGTGTCTTACTTCTGTTATCTTGTCATAAAACTCCAGGAGGTTTGTGATACAAGATTTGCCTTCCATGAACTCATGCTGGTTTTCATTTATAATCTTGTTCCTTTCCAGGTGTTCGACCACTCTCCTCCTGATAATCTTCTCCATGACTTTGCACACAATACATGTCAGAGACACAGGTCTGTAGTTTAGCGCCTCGTTTCTGTTTCCTTTCTTAAATATGGGGACTACATTAGCTGTATTCCATTTCTCAGGTAGTTGCCCAATTTCAAGGGATGTGTTGAAGATTGTGGTTAGAGGCACGCACAGCATCTCTGCTCCTTCTCTAAGGACCCATGGGGAGATGTTGTCCGGTCCCATCGCCTTTGAGGTGTCAAGGTCACTTAGGAGCTTCTTCACCTCCTCCTCAGTTGTTCGTATGTCATCCAACACCTGTTGGTATATTCCCTCTTGATGTTCCCTTCTGTGCTGTCTTCCCACAGCCCTTCCTGTCTCTACTGTAAAAACTTCCTTAAATCTCCTGTTCAGCTCCTCACATACCTCCTGATCATTTCTTGTGAGTTCTCCAGCTTCTGTCCTTAATCTGATCACCTGATCTTTGACTATTGTCTTCCTCCTGATGTGGCTATACAACAGTTTCGGGTCAGTCTTGATTCTCGATGCTATTGCATTTTCATACTGTCGCTGGGCCTCCCT